AAAAAAAAAAAGAAAAAGTAACGGTAATGTGAAGCCCTGCTGGACACAATGACTAAATCCTGAATCCATGATGGAAGGCCATGGCGGGGGTGGTTTCTCCAGAGGTTTAGAGCCTGGGTCTTAAAGGAGAGATAGAAGGAAGAGTTCAACAGGGCAGAAGAAGAGGAAATGGTGACGTTTGTCCTGGGGGTCTGCCTGGGTTGGAGAAGCTGGAGTGATAATGTGGAGCCTGTACAGCCGGGCTGGGAAGTAAAAGAGCTGTGTAAGGAAGGTGGTGAGCAGGAAGGGGGTCTCAGGAGAGCGAGTGTGGTAGTGCTATCCAGGAGGGGACGACGACGGGAAGGAAACTAGGAAACGAGCCCAGGTCAGTCAAGAGACCACAGTGTGGATGTTTTTATGGGGTTTTTTTGTTCGTTTTTTATTCTGCTTTATTTTGATTTGGGAGGTTTTTGTAGCAAGGGTCTCACTCTCTTGCCCAAGCTAGAGTACAGTGGTGTCATTACAGCTCACTGCAGCCTCAAACTCTGGGCTCAAGTGATCTCCTACCTCAGCCTTCTGTGTCCTCAGCTGGGACTACAGGCATGCCCCCCACCTTTCCCGGCTCATTATTCTATTTTTTTGTAGAAATGGAATCTCACTCTTACTCAGGGTGGTCTTGAACTCTTGACCTCAACCAATTCTCCCGCCTCAGCCTCCCATAATCTAGGATTAGAGGCATGAGCCTCTGCTTGGCCCAGGAGACTGGTTTATTTATTTATTTTTTTTTATTGTTGGGGATTTGTTGAGGGTACAAGAAACCAGGTTATACTGATTGCATTTGTTAGGTAAAGTCCCTCTTACAATTGTGCCTTGCCCCCAAAAGATGTGTCACACACTGAGACCCCACCCGCCTCCTTCCTTCCCTCTCTCTGCTCTTCCTATTTTTTGTTTTTTAAGGATTATCTTAGTTAATGCTTATTAAAATGCATCCCATAGTAGGTTGCATAGTAGGCACATAGTAGGTTCTCAGTCAGTATAATTATTCATACTGATTGTTAGAATTTATCCAGTAAACCCAGGTCATTTGAAGTAGTTATTTTTCCTTGTGGTTCAATCCACAGAACACAGGGGGCAGCACTGAACTGCACATAGGTTAACTGATTGAAATGCTTGTGTGTGATTTACACTGAATTGCACAGACCCTAACTTCCTGACTAAGCTAGGTTTTTGACCTAAGCAAAGGCAAAGGTTAAATACGAGTGTTCAGATGGCTTTTGGTGTTTGGGAGTGGGCTCCATCCTGATTGCTCTCACTTAAAGTTTTCCTGGAGCTTAACCACTTCCCTTCTTGCCAGTAGGCTGGATGGAGAAGCATAGACATATGGAGATTAGCGTGTTAATATTAGAAGCAACATCTAGCTTCCACTTACATCCTTCATCAGGAAGATTTAACACATTAACTGGCACATGAGTTGTATTTAACTCATGCTAGTTTTAAGCATGGGCTGTGAAACCTCTGCTCATGTTTTTACCGTCTTCCCTACCTACCGTCACTCTGCTCTAGTCAGCCGGCCATGCTGTGCTGGACTATGCTCTCCAATTACCATAACTGTTGCCCCCCAGCCGGGTTCATCTGCCCAGTGCCCAAGAGAAAGCCAATGTCCAGAGACAGCAGGGTTCCCAGCAGAGAAAGAGTTTATTCTACAGAGTGCTAAGCAGGGAGGTGACTTTCTCAAACCCGCCTCCCTGAGAATTGGGGGGACAGCGTTCTTGAAGATAGTTTAGTGGGGTTAAAACAGTCAAGATCTGCTAATCGGCCAGTTTGGGGGAGAATCATCATCATCCTGTGGTATGGACTACTGTCTGTGTGGGTCAGCTGATTCACTGGAATACAGTTCCTAGGGTAGAGGATCCAAGACCAGTTGAATCTGTTCCTTGGTCTGCGTGGGTCAGTCAACCTACTGGAATGCAGGATCTGGAAGATAGCTCAAAAACTACCCTTAGGTTCTAAACAGGTGATGTTATTTATGGAGAAGAGTTAAGAATGTTTACAACTACAAGCTGTGCCCTCCAGCCACAGTGGGCAGTGACTATTATCAAGCAAATGAGGACAGTATGGTGGCCAGTTATTACTATTTTAGGTAGGCCTGTTCCCTCACAGAGTTTGGGGACCTTTATCCTTTTTTTTTTTTTTTTTTTTTTT